ATTCATTGTCTTTTCAACCCAACTTCAAAGGCTTTGCATGCATCTTTGTGTCACTATGTCATTGGAGAGAGTGGAGTCACGCATTGACAATTTGCTTATTGTCTGCTTACAGACTTTGTTTTGTGTAGTAATTTTCTCATTGGTGTCTATCTCATTTAAAAGGTTAAGCTCTTGTAAGTAGGCTTAACATGTGCGCTCATTGTTGGCAAAGGTAGTAATTGACTCTTGAACTTTTGCTTGCTGACTTCTATAGCGAGTTGTGTTACCAACTCATCAGACAGCTTATCAGAGGATTGATTTTCACACATATACAGTAAAATAAAGATCAGGGGAAAATTTTCAGATGATAACAACCTGCAGTGATAATGAGTTCGGTCTTTTCTTGGCGTCTTTGTCTAACCTGAATACTGATCCCAATACCACTTTCTGATCAAAACTGAAACACCATTTGAGTTTCATTTTTGGGAAAAGAAAAGGTTTCCTCATCTCTGTTCCCCATTTTATATATCCAGGAACTGTCTGGACTGCAAGTGCACACATTATTACAGCCATTATAGGCTCTGGAGTCCTATCACTTGCCTGGGGTGTGGCACAGCTTGGTTGGATCGTGGGAGTCACCACTCTCGTAGTCTTTTCTGGGATTACTCTGTATACTTCCAGTCTTTTAGCAGATTGTTACCGGTCCCCTGAGACTGGAAAGAGAAACTACACTTACATGGAAGCTGTCAAGAACAACTTAGGTATTCATTCAAAAGTTTAGACGTCTCTAGTAGATTTCTGTCCGATGAAAGATTTCTGATCAACATAACAAAGGACTTAGCATGATAAAGCACGTAAAAGCTTTTACATGTTATTATTTGCTTCTTTAACAGGTGGAAAAATGTATATTGCTTGCGGAATGGTGCAATATGCCAATCTCTATGGGACGATAATAGGCTATACCATTACGGCATCAATAAGCATGGCGTAAGTATGCTTGTTCCAAAGATTTTAGAGAAGCTACATAATTTCCGCAGGCAAAATCTGATAAAAGCACATACAGATGCGCACACAAACACTTGCACAAAAATAGGGGCCAAAAAGAAGTTAAACTGAACGGCAGCCACTCCCCCACCTCCAAATTCGTAGAAATAAAACAGCATGGCCTTCTTGACTAACTGAAAAATTTGCTCGTTACCTTTATTGTAGCCTACTGGATTTTATCTTGCTCAGCCCTTGAATAGTTCCCTCTGAAATGCTTATAACTTGATTACCTGAAGATGTATCTTCATTTCATATTAAAGAATGTCACTGAATAGTAAATTTAATTGTATCGATGGTGCATTACAGGGCAATACAAAAATCAGATTGCTTTCATAAAAGAGGCCATGAAGCTTCATGCAGTGTTTCAAATAACCCCTACATGATTGGATTGGGAATCCTTGAAATTTTCCTATCCCAGATTCCGAACTTCCACAAGTTGTCAATGCTTTCTATCGTTGCGGCAATTATGTCTTTCAGTTATTCTTCTATTGGAATGGGGCTTGCCTTTGCGAAAGTCATTTCAGGTAAAATGACTAAATAGCTCGAACAAGTTTTCTTAACTCTGTGAGATGTGAAACAAAAATCTGCAGTACTCCTTAAGATTCTATGTACAAGAACATTGGGATTTCAAAAAAAGGGCGCTCAAGTTCAAGACATGAGCTGCTCCTCTGGACATGTATCATGTCATCTACTATCCTGGCACAAAGAACTCGTAAAGCAGGAGTTTGTATTGACACGAATATATGAGAACTTGTGCATGATTCTAATCACTTCGTAGTTTTTTCTAATTCTTGAAAAATTCATGTGGTTATTTCTGTTCGCAGGAAAAGGAGAGAGGACTACGTTGACAGGAGTAGAGGTTGGTATTAATTTATCAGCAGCTGAAAAGACCTGGAGAATGTTCAGAGCATTTGGAGATATTGCATTTGCCTACACTTATTCTCAAATCCTGATTGAAATTCAGGTAACTGAATGGCCTATGCATCTTGATTCTTGGTGATGGCCAATTACAAAAACAAAAAGATTTAAGACCAGTTTTGTGATCAAGGTCTCTTGTGCTTTTGTGGTCTAAGTCATTACTGCGTGTTTTTGGTTTTGCTAGATGATTGCCTCATCAGGCCAAAGGCCAGATGACAGCATCTAAGTGCCCTAAATTAGATCCTGATGTTTGGTTATTGGATGTCCCTTATGAGTGAATATGGCAGCAATATGAAATGCTGATTTGTCAAAGTATGAGCACAACTCATGCTTATCAATCACTTTCTCTGTCTCCCTAGGATACACTAAGATCACAGCCATCAGAAAACAAAGTGATGAAAAAGGCAAATATTATGGGAGTGTTCACCACAACAACATTCTATATGATGTGTGGCTGCTTTGGTTACGCTGCATTTGGGAACAATGCTCCAGGAAACCTGCTAACAGGTTTCGGATTTTACGAGCCATTTTGGCTGGTTGACATGGCCAACATTTGCATTGTGGTGCACCTAGTCGGGGCATATCAGGTCCAAAAATCTCCTTAAAAAATTTGTATCCACTAAGTTAAATGAAAAAGATTCATGTTTAAGACTGAGAGGTTCGTCTTAAATTTGATTTTACAGGTGTTTTCACAACCATTGTTCGGTGCGTTTGAATCATGGGCTCTCTGGATGTGGCCTAATTCAAAGTTTGTCACAGAAGAGTACTTGATAAGCATAGGCGGTTCCGCAAAATACAGATTTAGCACCAGCTTTCTCAGACTCATCTGGAGAACATTATTTGTGGTACTGGCAACAGTTCTTGCAATGGCAATGCCATTCTTCAATGACATACTTGCACTTCTTGGAGCACTTGGATATTGGCCATTGACAGTGTATTTCCCTATACAAATGTACATTGCACAGAAGAAAGTTGGAAGATGGTCCTCAAGGTGGATTGCTCTGCAACTCATAAATTTTATCTGCTTGCTTGTCGCTGTGGCTGCAGCCTGTGGCTCAGTTCAAGGACTGAGCAAGGATCTCAATGCTTTCAAGCCTTTTAAGGTCGAAGACTAGTAATCATAAACACCTTGGTCTGCAATCATAAAACTGTAGCTCTTTGCTGTATGCAATATTGTTCAAGTAAGCTCAAGCTTACAATCTGATGGCTGTTAAGCTCTTTGCTGGCGTTGAAATTGAAAAGAGGAAAGATTTTCAAACACTCTCTCCATCTTAGACTCTGCATATGAATTTAAGTAAGAAGTATACTGAATTACAAGCAAATGTGCACATGTCGGGCAAATGTGTACTCGGATCACTTCAATCCAAGGGCTAATTGCTTAGAGTCCGTTCGTTCAGAGTTCAGACCTACTGCATGTTGCATAATTTGTCCAACGTACGGTTTAAACACCATATGAGGTCCATACCATTAGTCTTGAATACATAGTAGCATTGTATTAGTCTTTAAGTACAAGTACTGCAGGGGTATAGGTGGCAAACCAACCCATTTAACTAGATTTACTCGTACCAGTTCATGAATGAATGGATGGGTATGGATATTTTAAGTTTTTGCATATGAGTACAAATGGGTTATCTAATAAATGGGTATTATTGTGTAACTCGTCAAATCCAATTAATTCATTTAGAATTATCTTCTCCCAAGTCTTCTCTCTTCTCCACCCATTTTTTTTTGCAGATTTTTCGTTTTATCATGATATTAACTACTTTTGTTTTATTATTATTATTATTATTATTTGTTAGTTTTATCTTATCATTTTATTTTTCTCTTAGTTTGTTAACTTACTCGTTCTTTAACATTACCAATTTATGAAAAGTTTTAGTCTCTTTTCCTACCTGTCCAAAATGAAAATTTAAATTTACATATGAAAAAAATATTAGGGGTTCAAAATTTTTGGATTAAGTTTTTATGTTAACTTTTACAGTACTTAGTTCAAATTTTTATATTACTATTATTTAATTATTAAATAGTATATAATTTTGCGACATATAGTACGGATGAAAAAAAATTGGTAATTAGGCTTGTTGAACATTATAAGTAAATATTCAAAACTAATGAAATAAGTAAATATTTAAAACTGATGATAACTTAGTTTGCAAAAATGAATTTAAATGAGTTTACAAAAAATTAAAATAAATGGGTTATAAACGAGTAATTAGGTTATCCAATTCATTTTTTGACTTATCCATTTATATCCATCTAATTAAATGAGTATAAATAAATTGACTCACTTATACCCATTACTCATTTTATCAAACCCAAACCCGCCCAAATCACCCATTTTGACACCTCTACTGTCCGTGGGAGAAAACCTATTGATCTACGTAAGCTTTGAACAGAAATCTCATAATTATTGTTTGGATTACTATTATCAGAATTGGGATTTTGGAATCTACCCTGTTTGGATTGCCATTTTTTGCCAGAAAATTGCGTCGTTTTCCGTTATCACATTTTCCTATTACTTTTTCCCCTCACATGCATCAAATCGCTACAGTAATTTTTTCATAAAAAATGATGGAAAATGCAATTCAAACGGGGTAGAATTCCTCAATTCTCTAGTAACTGGGTTTTAGACAAAACCCAAGTCTGATTCCAATTTAGAAATAAGTCCCGTCTGCCACCCATTAAAAAAATTAATATATAATTATATACATATATATAATTATAATTATATATTTTATTATAATATTAGTATAATTACATAATATATTTATAATTATTATATGCACATGGCCAATGGTCCTCCTTTATCTATAGGGGTGGGCAAAAAAATCCGAAAATCCGAAAACCCGAGAGATCCGATCCGATCCGCACCGAAAAATCGGATACCCGATCCGATTTCAATCAGCGGATCAGATAGGGTCGGGTACCCTAAATATTCGGATACGGATACGGATCGTGAAAGTGAAAACCCGCGGGTACCCGACCCGGGGGTATAATATATAAATATTAAAAATATAGGGATAATTGTATAATATTTTAAGTTATTAACCCTAAGTTCCTAAGCTAAATCAATCCATCGGTCATCCATTCAGAGTTTAGCCTCAGCTTCAGCCGACACTCTTCCGTCTTCACTCATTTCATTTTCTTCTTCTGCTTCTCGACCTCCTTTGTCCATCTCTTCAATTTTGTCAAGTTGAACTCAAGCCTGCAAGCCTCAGCCCTCAAGCAGACGATTCAACAGTGTTTCGATTTCGATTTCTCAAGCCTCAAGCAGAAGCTGTAAAACGCCGACCTTCTTCATCTGCAAGTTTGGACCTTCTTTAATTGATGGCTATCCAGCTTCTTCAGGTGATGGTGTATATTACGTGTAGGTTTGGACTTTATTAAAATTTTGGTTGGAGTGATTACAGTACACTACTCCTTGCTCGATGCTAGGAGGTGTGAAATTGTTGTTACAATACCTCTTTTGATGGCTTTCTATATTCTTGGCACTTCCACTCCTTGTGTTAATATTGCTTCGACACAATACCTCTGTTTAGGTCCCTGTTATGTGTTTGGCAATTCTCCAGCTTCTCTATGCTCCTTGCACAATCAATCTGTTTTGTTAATCATTTTGATTACGCACTTCAGGCAGTTGCTTTTGGTTTTTGATAGGGTACTCCGTGACTCTGGCCTTCCTACTTAATACTACTGTGCCATAATACAGAGTGGTCAGGGGTTGAAGTACCATTCCCTAATGATGCAATTATCTTTTCTTTAATTTGTTTGTGTTTACTTTTGCTAGCTATCCAGTGATTGCAAAATGCAAAGCATACTACAGATATGTATGCGTATCAAACCCAAACGAGCTAGTATATAACCAGAGAATGACTATTGGAATTGTGGAATTGGTTTATAAATTGGTTTAAAGCAATTTATAGATTGAAAATAGGGGCGGGTACCCTATGACCCGCCCCTATTTTTCGGGTATCCGAGGATCGGGTACCCGAGGGAGCTCGGAGCGGATTAGGGTCAAAAAAATAGTGACCTGACATGTTAGGGTCGGGTCAGCCAATTACCGTTCGGGGCGGGTACCCGACCCGTGCCCACCCCTATTTATCTATACGTTATGCAATGCCAAACAGGCGGGCCGCCTCAATTAATGCAGAGATGGCTGACCAAAATCAATCTATATGCTGTCCTCAACTCAGCCTACCGAAACTGAAAGAAGAGTAGAAGACGGGCATGATTATTTCATAGTGACTGGACTGAAACGCTGAGCTGACTTGACTTATTGCATACATTTCCAAATAAATTTCATCATAATTTTCAAGTTTGTTAGACGACTAAATGAGCTACGAGAATTTGTCTACACAATAATGTCAAAATTGCAACATTCCCTTCTGCTTCTCGCTTTCACAAGTCTTTTGATGCCTTTGCTTGCAATTTCACCCGCAACCAGAATTGAAGAACAGAGAATTCTACTCAAAATCAAGCAGATTTTTGGTAATCCACCAAGTTTAGAATCTTGGAAGCCATCATCCTCCTCACCCTGTGACTGGCTTGAGATTTCTTGCAGCAATGGCACAGTCACTTACATTTCTCTTGGCAGCAAAAATATATCTACAACGCTGCCCAGAATCATATGTGACCTTCCGAATCTCCAAGGCATTGACCTTTCCGACAACTCCATTCCCGGCAACTTCCCTGATTTTCTTTGCAGCTGCAAGAAACTTAATCGTCTTGATCTCTCTTGGAATAATTTTCTTGGGCCAATTCCTGATGATATTCAATGTTTATCAGGACTTCGGTACCTCGACTTAGGACACAATAACTTCTACAGCATCCCTAAAGGCATTGGGCAGCTGCAAGAGTTAACATCATTGACGATTGACGGGAATAGCATAAGAACTATTCCAGTACTGGAGATTGGAAATTTGTCCAATCTGGAAGAGTTGAGTTTGTCAGTTAATGAGGGGTTGGCTCCAGATGAAATTCCCCTGGAGTTTGCTGGGCTAAAGAAGTTGAAGTCGTTGTCCATGAGCGCAACAAATTTGATAGGTGAAATTCCGCAGTTTATTGTTGTCAATCTAACAAACCTTGAAACTCTGGACCTCTCAAATAACAGATTGGCAGGATCTATACCTGGAGGTTTTAACAAACTGCACAATCTTCAAACTCTATTGCTAGGTTTCAATAAATTCTCTGGATCGCTACCATCAGGTATTGTCAATCCAAATCTTAAAGTACTTGACTTGCGTTACAATCGACTCTTTGGGCTTGTCCCTGATGAGTATGAGAAAGCAGATTATACCTTGAGTTTCAGTGAGAACTTGAACCTGTGTACTGACAACAAAATTCTTCAACTTCCTCTTTGCACTAAAAAAAAAGCGCATATGTTCTTCTACATTCTCGCTGCCATCTTTGGTTTTATACTTGCTAGTGGATTATCTGTCTATTTCTTAGCTAAGAAGTATGGTCAGCACAGAAGGAAAGTACATACTAATGATATTCCTGAGTGGGAATCCATCTGGTTTCACAAGTTGAATTTTACAGAATCAGACATCTTATCCAGCTTGTCAGAAAATAATCTGATTGGAAGAGGGGGTAGTGGGAAGGTATATCGGATTATTATCAATCCAATTGGTGAAAAAGTTGCGGTGAAGAGGGTATGGAATGACAAGAAGTCGGACCAAAGGCTTGAGAGGGAATTTCTTGCAGAAGTTCAAGTACTGGGGATGATTAGGCATTGCAACATAGTGAAGCTCTTGGGTTGCATTTCTAGCAAAACCGCTAAGCTCCTCATATATGAGTACATGGAGAATCAGAGCCTTGATAAGTGGCTGCATAAGAAAGCAGGAAGCACAACTTCAGAAGCTTGTGATAGTACCCCAGGAGATGTTCTGGACTGGCCAACAAGGCTGCGCATAGCCATTGGAACTGCTCAGGGGCTTTGCTACATGCACCATGACTGCTCTCTACCTATAGTACATCGCGATATAAAGTCCAGCAATATTCTCTTGGATTCGGGGTTGAATGCAAAAATAGCAGATTATGGACTTGCAAAAGTTCTGGTGAAAGAAGGAGAGCCTGAGACAGCATCTGCAGTTGCTGGAACTTTTGGTTATATTGCCCCAGGTACATCTCTCCTTTCCTCTTGTTGCAGCTAGGGTGATTTTTTTCATATTAAGAAATTCATCGTTGCGGGTTGCACCATTTTCCCTTATGGTTTTCACCTTAAAAGACACTTCAGAATAGAGGAGTGAACCTCAACCATATTTTTCTGCACTCTCTACTCGAGTCTCAATTGAGTTGGAATATTTAGCCCTCTCTTTACATGCCGACTTATCAGTATTGAATCTAGTTCTCATTTTCTGTTGAGACGCTCACAGTTTCACACTCACTTGGCTGCAGAGTACGCCTACACATCAAAATTAAATGTGAAGAGCGATGTCTATAGTTTTGGTGTGGTACTTCTTGAGCTAACAACTGGAAGACAGCCTGTAATTGTGGATGAACAAATGAACCTTGTACAATGGGCATGGCAGCATTACGAAGAAGAAAAGTCAATTATCACTGCTTTGGATGAGGAAATCATGGAACCATGTTACTTGGAAACAATGACAGCAGTGTTCAAACTAGGACTCAAGTGCACTAGCCCTTCACCTTCTCAAAGGCCTGCCATGAATGAGATCTTGCAAATTCTTCTTAGCTGTCCTATTAATTTTCCTTCTTGGCAGGAGTCTTCTGTTGTACTTACTGTCCACTAGAAATTCAGTGATTATGCAGATTCAGCAAAACGTAACTTGTGTCCACAAATGCTGGAACCATGAAAAGCCCTGATTTCATTTCTAATTCTGGATGGTGATGTGCCAAAATCTTTAATAATGTTCCCTGATGGAAGCATAATTAAAAAAGTTCCTTGATCAATAATCATGGCAGTGGAAACTTTTAGTGTATTACCCGTCCTCAATCCAAGCCTCCTATCTTTCTATTTGCAGACAGTTTTGCCTCAGCATTAGAGCCTTAAACATTGATGCCCAAAAAAAAAATCCATCACGGTTAAAAGAACTGAAGAATCAGGAAACCTGGAAAATAAGCTGTTCCAGAATGTTTCCTTCAAGAGAAAATCATCTTGTCTTTGAATAACCAAAAATAGAGCAACATATGATGCGAAGAACTCAATCCTTCTGCAATTTGTACTCGGATTTCTTATGTGATTTTGTAAGTGAGAAAATTCTATTTAGACATTCAATTTAAGCTTACAGGTCTCATTAGGATGTTTAGTCTTGTTTCAAGGCGCCGTTTCTGTTAATTAAAAACTCAATTATCTATTAGTGATTTTTATGGCAAGCATCATTGAAGAACACCATCCTATGATATCTGGAGCTGTTACAGTAATTTGATCACTTTCTATTGTGTGTATTTGTTGGACCGCCTGCCTAACTTCTTGTTTTTCTGATCATCAAATCTTTAGTTGATCCTTTTCTTCCTTCCCTTGTTTTTATGTTCGATAATATCCTACTTGATCCATGAACCCTAAAGTCCAAGTGAAGTATATGGCTGCAGGCTTCAGACTTGACTGATTCAGTTCTTGATTTGCATACAGTTTTCAAGATCTGTGTTCTCATTAGCATGTATTCAGATCACTTGCACCATTTTCAACTTACGAACTCATGCCCACAAGCCCATAAAAACCTGTCCAAATTTTCGACATCTTATCTGCTGAACTCCTGTGTTCTGTTCTCTAATTGGGCATTTGCACTTGTGGTATTACAAAATTCAACAGTAACCAGAACAAGAAATTTCTTCTATTATGCACTTGGTTTATCAGTTGATGAAATGTTATCAGACCCCAGTTGGCTTTCTAGTAGTATTCTCTGTTAATTTGTATAATATGGTTTCTTATTAGAAAAATGAAAATCCAATATGGTTTTTTTTTTTTTGTATACATATATATATAAAGAAAAAAAATTCCTTCCCAAAGTGGATTTCACTATCTGAAGTAGCTACTTCAAAGCTCTATTATCAAAGTATCTATTTTGGGAAGCATTTAAAAGAGTTGGACTATAATTTTGAACAAAAATGGGATAATTTGTGTAAAAGAAAAAAATTCTAACTTACCACACACACATTTATTGTAACCTTGTATTTAGACATTTTTCCAAATTAACTTCTCTCTACAAAAAATTTAACACCTAACAAATCTCCTCACCCTTTAGCCAAACTCTTTATTCAGACTACGGTATATTATCAAATTTTTTATTCGTAAAATCTAGCTCTTTTTCTACATAATAGTATAATACCTACTCACGACCTGTTAGCCAGATCTTTTATTTAAATTGACTATATTTCTTTACTTTTAGTTTTCTAAAATCTAGCTTCTTTTCTACGTAATACTTGTCATAATTTTTTCCCCATGAGAGCATCTATTCAGCTTAGAAATGAAAAATATATATATATATTATTATTTCCTAATATGTATGCTTCTTAAATTGTCAAATTATATATTTTTTTCTTAGTTATTAGGGTCGGCCTAGTGGTTAGGAGAGAATTTTTAGAGTCTTCCCGCTATCAGATTTTGAATTTGGTACTTGGCAGTTGGGTGCTCGAGAGAGAGGGGTAGGAAGGAAAAAAATTGTTTATACTTTTTCTTTAAACATTAATGGAGTTGGATGCTTACTGCATAAGATTTTTTGAAATTCATCCAAATTGTTCTAATATTTTGAATTGTTTAAGAAATATTTGGGTTTGTAATTCACCAATTATCGAAATATATTTAAATACGGCGATAATTGATGATTCATAAATTCAAATACTTCTTAAATAATCTAAACAACTAGAGGGATTTGAGAAAATTTTCATCAAATCCCTCAATCCAGGCACAGCCTAGAGGAATTTGTAGAGTTGAAACTAATGAATTTCAATTACACTAAACTTAGGTATGATTCCAAATCCCTCCTCGTCACATAATATCAATTAAACAACGTAAGTCAATTAAATTAAAATATGGATCTCATGTCAACTCATTTCAAATCCTTCCTTAAACTCAAACCAACCAATCTAAACGAACCTAATTAAGACATAATCAATGTCATGGAACATTTTGTAGGAATGACTTATCAATCAATAAACGAATAACTCTGATGATGATCAGAAATTAAAAAAAAAATCAATAAACGAATAAATAAATTCTCATTGCATGGCCTGCATCCATCTATATTCTCTACATGCAGATGCAAAACCAAGCTGAAAATGACCTAAAAAATTGCAAAAAAATTGTTGGACTGCCTGCCTAACTTAGCTATTTTGCAAATCATCCAATATCTAATTGATCCTTTTTTTTTTTTTGCCTTATTATATGAATCAAGCCCATGTGGAGTATATAATATGTTTCTTGAATCATATAGTATAATTTTCAAGATCTGCCGGCACCGCACTCAAAAGCTTAATTATGAAACTTTTGCTTAAGAGCAGCACGCTTTCAGGTCACCTGCCATTTTTCAACTTGGAAAAGCTGTCTGTGCGCGCTGCTACAGAAACCTCCCTGCCCAAATTTAATACGATCTTGACTGCTGTGGTCGTACGTATTCTCTTTGCTAATTGGGCATTTGAGCATCAAGTTTTCTCATATTAATTAATAACAAAATTGCTAAGCATGAACTTAGGCCCTGTTTCACAACCTAATTTGGTACTTAAACTTAATACATTCAGATGTTAACGTGTTCAGAAGCGCTTGATAATAAAAAAAAAGAACATCTAAATTGGTTAAATGACACTAAATTTTTTAAATAAAACTTGTTTTAAAAAATAAGTGATAACTTATTCAGTTATCACTTAATGTAATACACTCTCAAACGCATTAGATTTAGTGCTTAATAATTCATTAATTTAAAACATTCATACTTCATTTTTATCAAACGCGCACTTAGTTTATCAGTGCCCAGACCTGTTGGCTAACTAGGGGGGGGGGGGTGAGGATGATCTTAGTCAATTTCTGATTCAAAAAAATTGTATTTGCTAATTCCTAGGCTTGTAATGATGATAATTATGAGGAAGAAGAATTATTTAGTCTCGTAGCAGATTGTTGCAAAGTCAACGATGCACAATGGTATTTTTCTCATAACATAAAGCGATTAAATCTATTTCAACAGCTCAAAAAGTATTGTGGGGTGAGTAAAGCTCCATACAGAAGTTCTAGAATCAGTGGCGGCCTAGCCCTATGCAATAGGTGCAGGGGACTACGGTTCAACGCCTCATTAATGACTAGCCACTAATTCTGCTAGGTGGTTGGGCTAATTTGCGTTTGCTTAAATTAACATTTATGAGTTTACTTAATGAAAAACTACGGGTCCGTTTGGATTCTTGTTTTTGGGCCTGTTTTTGAAAAACTGTTTTTCACAATCCAAATGCTACAGTAAATGTGTATTTCAAAAACAACTCCAAAAACATCAATATCCAAACAATATATCAAAAACAACTCCAAATACATATTTAATATGTTTATTTCAATTTATATATTTCAATTATGTATAGGATATATATATTATATTAATTTAAATATATTTATTTATACATATTATAAATATTTTACTTTATATAAAATATATTTTTATATATTTATATAAATATTATATATTATATAAATTATATATATTATAAATATGTTATTATACATTTATATAAATGTTATATATTATATATATTTAATATATACATAATATATATTATATATATTGAACATTTATATAAATGTACATTTAAACATAATATATATATTTATGCATATTTATAATATACATTTAAATTATGTATTATATATAATATAATACATTTATACATTTATATTAATATACATAATATTAATTACACATTTATACATAATATTAATAAATGTATACATTTATATTTATTACATTAATACATTTATACATAGTATTAATATATATTTATAATATATTAATTTATACATTTATATAATATTCATTTATAATTTATACACATTTATAATAATATACATTTATATATTTATAAATATATTTATATTATGTATTATATATAATATAATACACTTATAATAAATTTATATATTTATTTATAAATATAATATATAATAAATAAATATAATACACTTATTTATTTATATATAATATATAAATTTATTTATATATAATATATAAATTTATTTATATATAATATATAAATTTATTTATAAATATAATACACTTATTTATTTATACATAATATATAAATATATTTATTTATAAATATTTATAATTGTATTATAAATGCATAAATGTATATAAATATAAAAACATAAAAATTATAAATTATAAATTATAATATACATTTATATAATATTCATTTATAATTTATACACATTTATAATAATATACATTTATACATTTACAAATATATTTATATTATGTATTATATATAATATAATACACTTATAATACATTTATATATTTATTTATAAATATAATATATAATAAATAAATAAATATAATACACTTATTTATTTATATATAATATATAAATTTATTTATAAATATAATACACTTACTTATTTAGAATAATATATAAATATATTTATTCATCAATATATAAATATATTTATTTATAAATATTTATAATTGTATTATAAATGCATAAATGTATATAAATATAAAAACATAAAAATTATAAATTATAATATACATTTATATAATATTCATTTATAATTTATATATTTATAGTAATATACATTTAAACATTTATAAATATATTTATATTATGTATTATATATAATATAATACATTTATATATAAATATATGAATATATTTATTTATAAAAGTACAAATATATTTATTTATAAATATTTAAATATATTTATTTATAAATATTAATAAATGTTTTATAAATGCATAAATGTATATAAATATAAAAATAT